CAGAAACCGGTACAGGGACAGTCTCAGTACCAACCTCTCTAGAGCGAGCACCTGCAGGACGCGGCGAGGAAGACTGTGGGGAGGGAGGCTGTACCGGAGGGGCTACCGAAGGGGGAGGGGTAGCCTGGGACACACCGGACGGGGCTGGACCAGGGGGGGGAGGCTGTACCGGGGGAGCAGGCGGGGGAGCGGCGGTCAGGAAGAGAGGGGGGGGAGGGACCGGGAGACCTCGACTGGGGTACCTGACGTAGTAGGGGGTGGACTCCTCGAAACGGACGTCACGGGAGTCAAAGAACCGGTGAGAGGGAGGGTGGTAAAAGGTGAAGTCAGAGGAGTCCTCAGGGAAACCAAGGAAGACACAAGGAACGGCGCGAGGCGAGAGCTTGTCCGCGGAGGTGTCGCGGACAAGAGCCAAGCACCCCCAGACACGAAACCTCGACGCAACACCAGGGGACCCGGTCCAAAGACTGGTCGGTGAAGCCTCTGGCCGAGAGACGCGTGGCCAGAGGTTCAGCTGGTGCGCGGCGTACCTGACCGCGTAGGGCCACAGAAAATGGGGGGCACGGGCGTGAGTCAGGGAGGTGCGGGCGATCTCCATGACCAAGCCTATGCGACGCTCAGCAACCCCATTCTGCTGTGGGGACTCTGGAAGCGTCCAGGACTGACGAATGCCCTGCTCGCGACAGAATCCAGCGAGAATGCCGGAGCGAAACTCACCCCCGCGGTCGGAGTGGAGACAGCTGACACGACGACCACGAGTGTCCTGCGTGGTAAGCAACCACCTGATCAGCGTAGAAGTCACCTCAGACTTCTTCGCCAGGGGGAACACTGTGGTGTAGCGGGAGTAGTCGTCAACGACCACCAAAAAGAAACGCTCACGCTCAGGGCCAGGGCAAGGAGAGGGGCCCCAGACGTCCAAGTGAAGCGTCTCAAAAGGCTCGGTGGCCGGACGAAGGGAGGAGGAGTGAGGGGTGGCGCGCAGCCTACCCTCGACGCAAGGACCGCACGGTGGTGCAAGGGACGGCGGCAGCGACGGCAAGACACGCGGGAGACCTAAGACAAGACGCTGACGAGACATAGCGCGCAGACGAGGAAGAGAAGGGTGCCCCATCCGGTGGTGCCACAGAACGGTGGGGTGGGCAAGCGACCGGCAGGAGCACGACGCAGCGACTGGACCAGACGTAGGAACCTGACAAGACACAGCTACCTGGGGGGACGGAGCAACCTGGTGAGACGCGGGGACTCGAACGGGGGGTGAAACAGGGACCGGTGGCAGTAGGGGCGGCTGCCGCTGCTGCTGCTGCTGCTGCTGCTGCTTCGGCTGCTGCTGCGCACTCGGGCCAGTGTGAAGAGTGTAGAGACCTGAGCCCGGCTCAGCAGCAAAGGTGGCCAGAGGCTGGTAAGAGTCCCCGTCAACACACACCGCAGTCTCTCCAGAAGGCTCAAACCACACACCCACGTGCTGACTCACGAGGGGTCGCACGCCCACCAAGTTCCGGGAGAACGAGGGGACGTGAAACCCAGTGAGAGACCCAGAAGGAGCAGCAGGACACGGCAAAGTGGTAGTGTGACGCGCGGTGACTGGTCCCGAAGTGGGATCAGCCAGCGCCACAGAAACAGGCGCAGGAAGTGGTGTAAGTGTCGTGCTGTCACGAAAGAAGCAGTGTGAGGCTCCAGAGTCCAGCGTGAACGACAGCGAACCGTCCTCCGAGGTAGCCGCTGGACTAGAGTCTACACAAGAACCTACACTAGCAACAGGCAACGGAGCAAGGCTAGCACCTAAGCTAACAACACCAGAGTAAACAGAGTCAGAAACACTAGAGTCAACAACAGCATACATAGCATGGGGAGTACCAATCAGATCAACTAACTGCTCAGCAGACATGCCCCACAGAGCGGAGCCGTAACGCTGAACAAGAGGAAGCCAGTCAGGGGCAGGAGCACCAACCCCGTAGACCAAACGAACCGTGTCAGTGAGCTGAGCAAAACACTGACCAGGGGGGTGAAAGCGGCCACAAGGGTGGCCCCGGCGAGCACCTGTCAGAACCTGATAGGTGCAGGGAGGGTAAGCAGCACCGCTCTGGGTCTGACGCAGCCCCGACCCTGGAGCCAGCTGCTGCCGCTGCTGCTGCTGAGGCTGCTGGGAGGAGAGGGGCTGCCGCTGCTGCTGAAGCTGCTGCTGACGCTGAGCCTGGTACCACGCCGCTGCTCCACCTCCCGTGGCCGGAAGTACAGGAGGCGACTGACGAACTCGGGCGTCGCCACCACCAGCAGGCGCAGTGGAGTCACCAGTCGCTGCACGAGACGCCTCTCCAGGCCCTGCACGCCCACCGCCGCCAGGCGCAACGTCACCTCCACTACCTCCGCCTCCACCACCACTACCACCACTAGAACCGCCTTTCTTGCCACCCCTACCGCGGGACCGCGACGCAGTCGTAACAGCAGCTGCAGTCGCGTCAGTAGCGGCAGTGGCAAGAGAGGCAGTAAAGGTGGGTAACTGCGGGACTGTGCACCCGTGGAAGAGTGGGGGGGGCACAGCACCAGAGGCAGCGGCTACCGAGCGAAGGTTGCTCTCGACGTCCTTGAGCGCAGACTCAAGGACCTCGACGGTGAGCTCACTAGGGTGCTTCAGCAGAAGCGCGTCGCGAACGGAGGCAAGGCGGTCAGGGAGGCTAGTGGCGATGAAATAGATAGTAATCGCCATAGGGGGAGGAAGCAGTGCAAGCTGTGCCTCAGTGCAAGCAGCGCGGTAACTAGCGTCGAGCGAGCGGAGGTGAGCGATCAAGTCAGCAGAGCGCTCAAAAGACGCAAGGTCAGGGAACAGGAACGGGAGGAAAAGGCGGCCAAGAGAGACAGTAGCGGGAGTAGAGTAGCGGGCCTTAATCGCAGTGAGGTACTCAGCAGCGGTGCGAACCTGAGTGAAGTGAACCTCCTCAGACTCAGGGAGGAGGCTGCTGAGCGCGATGCAGGCCGCAGCGTCACGCGACGTCCAAGCCGTCTGGTCAGCTCGCTGGGTGGTAAAGTGAGCTCTAGCGGCGTCGTCAGGGGCAGGTCCTAAAGGCGTAGGGTCGGGGGGCGCAGGGAGGGCACCAGCAGCGTGCGCCCAGAGGGTCTCGCCTGCCTGGACCTGACTCTCTAACAGACGGCGAGCGCGAAGAAGCCAGACGGAAAAGTCAAGAGGTCTACCGTCAGCGTCGAAACGAAGAACACGCTAAGTCGCCATAGCGAAAACGAACGGACGAAGCGGCGGGCAACGGGAGCGGACGCAGCGGTGGAAAACGGAAGTGGGGCACGGGCCAGGGCGACGGGCTAGGGCGCGGGCTAGGGCGACGCGCTAGGGCGCGGTCTGGGGCGCAGGCTAGGGCGACGGTCTAGGGCGCGAGCTGGGGCGTGGGCCTGGGCAACGGGCAAGGGCGCGGGCCTGGGCGACGGGCTAGGGCGCGGGCCTGGGCGACGGGCTAGGGCGCGGGCTAGGGCGACAGGCAGGGGCGCGGGCCTGGGCGACGGGCTAGGGCGCGGGCCTGGGCGACGGGCTAGGGCGCGAGCCAGGGCGACGGGCTAGGGCGCGAGCCAGGGCGACGGGCTAGGGCGCGGGCTAGGGCGACGGGCAGGGGCGCGGGCCTGGGCGACGGGCTAGGACGCAGGCCTGGGCGACGGGCTAGGGCGCGGGCCTGGGCGACGGGCTAGGGCGCGAGCCAGGGCGACGGGCTAGGGCGCGGGCCTGGGCGACGGGCAGCGGGGGGGAGGTGCGGTTCGACGGGCAGCGGGGGGAAGCACGGGTCGACGGGCAGCGGGGGGAAGCGCGGGTCGACGGGCAGCCGGAGAAAGCGCGGTGCTACGGGCAGCGGGGGGGGGGGGGGGGGGGGGGGGGAAGCGCGGTTCGACGGGCAGCGGGGGGGGGGGGGGGGGGGGGAGCGCGGTTCGACGGGCAGCGGGGGGAAGCGCGGGTCGACGGGCAGCGGGGGGAAGCGCAGCGCGACGGGCAGCTATCAAAACTGTAAACCAAATCAAGTTGCATCTGGAAGGTAGTGACCCCAGGTTCGGAAACCCTAGGCCGACTCGGCTATACTGTGGTGGGGCTGTACAAAAGAATGAAGTGCAATCGAACCGGGCCATAACTTGCTTACCAAGTTGTACTCATAGACTAGGAGGCTCCAAGGCAAAAACTGGCACTAGTTGGCAAAAGTGAGTCGTTGATAGGCTTTTTTTTTTGTGTGGAAAAAATATAGGTATCCACCTCAACCATCTTAGTCGGTGCACGCTCCGATCCCCCCCTCACGTCGCCGGTCTCGTGCTACAACCTGTTCACCCGCGGCACTTTCCTTAGTGAACGATCGTCGCGTTACTCGCGCCTTGCATTCAAGCTCGCGTCGCACACGCCTGCTCTTGTCACACTTGCTGCGGTTCAGCCTCGCGTCACGATCGTACCGTTTTAGGCCCGGCTCGCTCACGCGAATGCCGCACAATTTCGCGTGACGCACGCTGCCGGTAGTCGCATATGTTCCCCCTCGTCGGCCCTCTTTCCCATGTTATACTGCTTTCCTTGTCGCCCGCAATTTCCCTCATCACCCTCGCCGACCCTCGCCGCCCTCGCCTCTGCTTGTCGCCCGCGCTTCCCATCGTCACCCTTGCTTCGCCGTCACCCGCGCTTCCCGTCGTCGCCCTTGCTTTCCCGTCACCCGCGCTTCCCGTCGTCGCCCTTGCTTCCCCGTCACCCGCGGTTCTTCTCATCTCTCGCTCTCCTCCTCAACTTCTTCGTTCCCTCGTCGCCATAACGCCCTCGCTTCTTCCCGTTGCCCTCGCCTCCCCACATACCCACCTCCATCTCCCCCACATACCACCAGCCTTCCTCCCCACACGCTATTCCGCTTGTCATGCACTCTTCTCCTCTTCCTCCCTTCCATCTCTCCCTCCCTCCCTCTCCCTCTCTATCTCACTTTCTTTGAACCTCTCTCTCACCCTTTCTTCCACCCTTCTTCCACCTGAGGGGAAGGGACTGAATGAGAGACACAGAGGGGATAGGACAGAAGGGTAAGCAGATGTTCTTTTCCCCCACGCGCTTCCCCTCATCGCCCTCACTTCCCCCAAATTGTTGCCCCCTGTCTCTGTTTTTCCCAACCTCCCGTTCTCCCACCAGCCCTGCTTCCCCCTTTGCCCTGCTCCCTCCCATCCCCTTCCCTGCTTCTCCCCATCCGCTTCCCTGCTTCTCCCCATCCCCTTCCCTGCTTCCCCCCATCCCCTTCCCTGCTTCCCCCCATCCCCTTCCCTGCTTCCCCCCATCCCCTTCCCTGCTTCCCCCCATCCGCTTTCATGCTTCTCCCCATCCGCTTCCCTCCTCCCCCCCATCCCCTTCCCTGCTTCCCCCCATCCCCTTCCCTGCTTCCCCCCATCCCCTTCCCTGCTTCCCCCCATTCGCTTCTCTGCTTCTCCCCATCCCCTTCCCTGCTTCCCCCCATCCCCTTCCCTGCTTCCCCCCATCCGCTTCTCTGCTTCTCCCCATCCCCTTCCCTGCTTCCCCCCATCCCCTTCCCTGCTTCCCCCCATCCCCTTCCCTGCTTCCCCCCATCCCCTTCCCTGCTTCCCCCCTTCCGCTTCCCTGCTTCTCCCCATCCCCTTCCCTGCTTCCCCCCATCCCCTTCCCTGCTTCCCCCCATCTGCTTCCCTGCTTCTCCCCATCCCCTTCCCTGCTTCCCCCCATCCCCTTCCCTGCTTCCCCCCATCTGCTTCCCTGCTTCTCCCCATCCCCTTCCGTGTCTCCGTGTTACCCGTTTCCCTGTCCCTTTTCCCTGTGTCTCCCACCCTCTGTTCTGCTTCCTTCATCCTTGCACACCTTACCGCCTGCCCACCTTACCACCTCAAATCCTTCCCTTCTCATCTTGCGCTGGGGTACGACGTGATATTCACTGATAACGCGATTCTCTGGCCGCTCAACCCACTGCCAATGACAGCTTGACCATTTTTTTAAAATCCACAGATACGCATTGTTAATGCAATGACAGATGAAAATGAATGAATATGCACACACAGAGACATATACGCACACACGCACATACCGATATGCACACACAAAGACGAGTCACAATCAGAAAATGAACCTAAAAGAAATCTAACATAACAATGCAGTAGCATCAATCATTAACATTTCAAACAAAAATCAAACAAAATCCTTTTAATTTCCACATTAGCCTCCGAATGTTATAGCGAAGACTCTGGGCGGGAAAGGGGGGGAACGTAGTGGGAAGGGAAAAGAACGGGGCAGAAGGGGCAGAAAAAAGGACGGAGGCAGAGACACATTAGAGAACTACGATACGACGGAATTACAGGATTTGAAACGTAGGCAGGTGGGGAAGAGAAGTACAAAGGAGAATAACGAATAAAAATACCAAATGAGATAAGAACCGCACAGAGGAAACGCAATAATCTGGGCAAGGAAAGAAGAAAACATAAATGAGCTCGTATATAGTAGCGTTTTGATAGATACATAGATGAGCGAAAGAGTTTGACAGAGGAGAGAGACAAATGTTCCGTTCTAAAACGTAGAGCAGAGAGAGAGAGAGAGAGAGAGAGAGAGAGAGAGAGAGAGAGAGAGAGAGAGAGAGAGAGAGAGAGAGAGAGAGAGAGAGAGAGAGAGAGAGAGAGAGAGAGAGAGAGAGAGAGAGAGAGAGAGAGAGAGAGAGAGAGAGAGAGAGAGAGAGAGAGAGAGAGAGAGAGAGAGCGAGAGAGAGAGAGAGAGAGAGAGAGAGGAGAGAGAGAGCTGAGAGAGAGAGAGACTTCAATAAACTATGGCTTCTAAAAAAACATTCGTAGACTTATGAAAGACATATTCAAAAACCGCACGAAGGTAGGAGTGGAACCAATACGGAAGGAAGATAACATGCAATACGAGGACTATACGCGAGATGCGAGGAGAAGAAACATTGCAAGAAATGAGACAGAAAGAGCCTGTAAGTATGACAGAAAAAAACACACACACACACACACATAGCTACGAGAAGATGGGGCACAGATACTAGAGCGTCTAAGCTGATAAGAAAGGAAAGGAATGAGGAAAACGACATGATAGAGAAATGAGAGGACCGTTCTAGGAGTTAAGAGTGTGAGGAACACAGTTGCACTTACGGGAGAAGACACAGTATTTAAGAACGACCTAACGACATGGGCGAAATGGGCGATATCCTTAGAAACGACTTCGCTTCTAAATAACTTAGAACTTACTGGTCTAAATTAGAGGAAAGAACATGAACAAAACTGGTCCTAATATTCTCTTGAAGACTAAAAAGAACTAGCAAACGTTAGTACGTACGTTAGTCCTTAGATTTTTACCTAGTAAGTATATGACTGCTGCAGTCGTAGGAGGAGCGGGAGTTGCGGGAGAAGCGGGAGGAAGCTAGGGTATTGACGATCCAAAAAGAGATGAAATGTCGGGTCAGCAATCGGCTTTTTTCTTTTCGACCTGCAAACTTTTTAGGTAGCACAGACAAGTTTTGTCAGCACAGTGGTTTGATTGTCATATCATATGCCGAAAGTCTCGGGTTCGAAACTCGCCGCGGCTTTTGATATCAAAGCAAAATTAGCCACATTATATATATTATTTCACTTCTCGAAACCAGTTCTGGTATGAATGGCGATTCGGTAGTGTCCGGTTCGATTCTTGCCGCTGCCCTTTATGTCAACACAATATTGGATATGTGTCATCTGTAAGAAATTTAGGAAAGTACGTAGTAGAACAAAATATGTAATTTACAAATAAGCTTCGCAACCCTATGTCGACTTGGTCGCCTCTTGTTGTTGTTGTTGTTGTTTTTTTTTTTTTTTTTTTTTTTTTTTTTTTTCCGCGCGCTGCCCTGCCCGCTCTGCCCCGCACGCACTACCCGTCGCGTCGCACCACAACCCCGCAGCCCCGCGCGCGCTGTTTGTCGCGTCGCCCCGCAGCCCCGCAGCTCCCCGCGCACTACTCGTCGCGTCGCCCCGCAGCCCCGCAGCCCCGCTCGTCGCCCGCCCTGCTGCCGCGCCTACTTGCTGCGCCCGCGCGCCGCACGCCGAGCCGCCTCGCGCACCGCCTGCCCTCCTGCCGCGGCTGCCTGCTGCGCCCGCGCTCTGCCCCATGCGCCCGCGCCCTGCCCCTGCAGTTCGCGCATTGCCCCCCCTCCCCCCCCCCCTGCGGCCCTCGCGCTGCCCCCCTGCGGCCCTTGTGCTGCCCCCTGCGGCCCTCGTGCTGCCTTCTGTGGCCCTCGTGCTGCCCCCTGCCCTTCCCCGCACGCCGCCTTTGCAGCCTGTGCCCTTCCCCTGCGGCCCTCGCGCTGCCTCTGCTCTGGCGCGTGCGTCACTCCTACAGCCTCGCGCACCTCCCTCCCTGCCACACCGCCTTGCTGCTCAACTATGGCTACTCTGCACGTCCTTTCTTTTGATCCTGACGGCCGCCCAATTAACAAGGGGTCACAAGACCAGTCAAGAAAAGCAAAGCAAACCCAGGGTGGATCACAACGTCACCACACACTCTAAGCACAAGCAAAGAGCCACGAGGACAGTTCACATGCAGAGGTATATATACAGAAAACAACAGTACAGTGATCACTACCTAGCAGGAGTAGGCATGCAGGTATATAATATAGATCACAGTACAAGCAAAGTCAAGAGGTAAGCAAGTGAGCAAACACTGGCACCAGGCCTAAAGCTGTGCAAAAGCGCTGATGGTCACAAGGCGGAAGTGCCTTGGTGAACACATCAGCAGTGTTGGCCCTGGTGGCCACGTAAGAAACACGAAGCTGACCACGCTGCTGCAACTCTCGAGCAAGGAAGTAACGCAGAGCGATGTGCTTCGTTCTGTACTCCAGTCTGTGCTCCTGACACAAGGTAATAGCAGCCTTGTTGTCTACGTACAGAACTAGAGGAGAACGAGGCCTCTCTCCCAAGTCGGTCAGCAGGTAGGTGAGCCAGCGTAACTCCTGAGCAGCCATGGTTGTGGCGTAGATCTCAGCCTCACAACTGGAGCCGAGAACAGAAGACGAGCGTGTAGACCGCCAAGAAACAGAGCCGGAGCCAAGGCTGAACGTGTACCCCTGCGACGACCGCTGCGTAGCCAGGTCGTCGACCCAAGAAGCGTCGGAGTGTCCAGTGAGGACAACGTCACCCCGTCCTCCAAGCACGAGCCCCATGCCCAATGTACTGCACAAGTAGCGCAAAACCCTCTTAGCAGCCTCCCAGTGCTCTCGCCGGTGTCTCCCGGGCGCAACGTAGCGAGCAAGGATGCTAAGAGGGTACGCAAGGTCAGGTCGAGTGCAGGTCATCAGGTACATGAGGCAGCCCACAAGCTCTGGATACGGGCCACTCAGCTCTACGGACTCATCCGAAGGCAGAGCTGAGAGCGAGTGACCCGTAGCCATAGGAGTGGACTGTGGCGAGGACCAAGTGAAGCCGAAGCGCTGAAGGACCTGCTGCATCATGTGTGACTGAGTCAGTGTGATGGTGCGGCGTGCTCTGTCCCGGGTGATCTGCAAGCTAAGGTAACTGCGCAGCTCACCCAGGTCCGTACACGCGTGTCGCTTCTGCAGCTCCGACTTCACAAGAGCGAGTGCCTCAGTGTCAGCAGTGGCAAAGACCAAGTCGTCGACGTACACGAGGATGTAGAACGGCGGCAACGAGGCGTCGGTACATAGAAACAGCGACGGGTCAGCAGTGGAAGGAGCAAACCCAAGAGCCGCCAGTGTCGTCCTCAGTGTGTCGTGCCACTCACGAGGCGCCTGACGGAGACCGTAGACTGGCCGCCTGAGGCTCCACTGGGTACCAGGAGGAAATGACCCAGTGAAGCCAGGTGGGCGGCGCAGCCAGATCTCCTTGTGCAGACTGCCCTGTAAGAACGCTGTGCTGAAGTCAAGAGAGTGAAGCTCGTAGTCACGCTGAGCGGCAACGTGCAGCAGCACCCGAAGAGTGGTCATCTTCGGGGTGGGGGAGAAGGTCTGGAAGAAGTCAACTCCCTCTCGCTGACTAAAGCCTCGTGCAACGTAACGAGCCTTGAAGACAGGTGGAGAACCCGGCGGCCGCTTCACCCTGAAAATCCACATGCCATCGACGATGTTCGCCCTAGGAGGGGGAACCTCGTCGACGTAAGTGCCTGTGGACTTCTAGGATGCCATCTCTGCATCCATGGCTGTCTGCCACTGAGAGGAGTACTGACCCGAAATCGCCTCTGCGTAAGAGCGCGGGGTTGGGATGTCCAGTGCATCCGGGTCTCCCTCAGGAGCAAGCAGCATGGCCACGAGATGAGGTGCAGCGGCTGCAAGACACTCAAAGTCCTCCTGTCTGTCCTCAAGGACGTCCGTACCAAGAGCACACTCACCCCCGACGGACGGAGGACAGACAGACTCAGACTCAGCAACAAGACCAGCAGCGTAGTCGAGACGACAAGCAGCAGCAAAGTCAACAAGCTCAGCGACCAAAGCAGACGCAGCAGCGGACTCAAAGGAAGGGTCAGTGACAACAGTGGCTAACAGATGCGTGACAGTAGGGTGAGCAGCACGAACTAGGTCAGACTCAGGGTCCGGCACAGTAGGAAGAGAGGACGCAGGAGGAGACGGCAGAGGGACACGCTGTGGAGCAGAGGAAGGACGAAGTGCCATAGTGTGAGTACCTGGCACAGGAGGAGGACGCGGACGCGGGACACGACGAGCACGGCGAACAGTGCGAACAGGGGAGGCAGGACGAGACGCAGGCTCACGACGCTCTGTAAGCGAGTCAGTGTGCTCAGTGTAAGGAGAAGGAGCAGGCAATGGTGAGCCGGGCTGTAACGGGAGGCCAGTAGAAGACGGGAGGCTAAGAACCTGGCGAAGTACGGAGGCAGGTGGTGGCAGAGACGACGGCGACGGTGGAGCGAAGAACAGTCGCGGCGGTGCAGTACCAC